AATATGCTCGTAGATGTAGCTAAATATGCTCGTAGATGTAGCTAAATATGCTAGTAGATGTAACTTGCAGCCACTTCTTCAGCTCGTCCTCCATCCCTCGTCCTCATCAGGCAGCGGTACGATCATATTGTCCTGTTTGAGCTCTGACAGGTGGTGTTCCTACATGTTTAATTTAAATCCTCAACGCTCAGAGAAACGACGCACATAAACAAACACTGGTTCTGGTCCACGCTGCAAGTTGCGCCCATAATTCACACAAGGCAGCATGGGGACTAGGAATGAGGTGTATAAGCCTCAGTCTAGTGAGATTAAACAGGGTATGTAGAGGGCCAGTTGTTAACGCATCAGTATTTGTAATTCTGATGGAATTATCCATTTTTCTGTTGGCTAAGGCCAGTTAGCTGTGCTGTGCTAACTCCAACAGTTAATGAGTATTAAACGCACATTCAATCATTACTTTTTAACAGTTTCAATGTATTAATCCATCCAGTAGATATTTTACTTACAGAGTATAAATAGGAGACCTTTTGCAGTCGCGCAAACAGACGTGGGGAAAAACATAACTACCCTTTCATCTTTCACTGAAGGTAAAAATAATAAGATTAGAAGTTGTTTTAATTTAATTTCACACAGAATTTATGTCATTAGGTTTATGTTTATTTGATTATTATGTGTTGACCTGAACTGTGTTGATAATACTTAAATAAAGTTTATTGGGATAGTTAGATGAATAACGTAAATTTAATTTAAACGTTTTATTTTATTCTGTTGGTAAACACAACTTCTCTAAACCAGCGAACCCGAACCAAACACAGCGGCGTGCACTGACAGGCTGGTATTTCATGTAAGCTTTAATGAAGTTCATTAACATATTTAATCAATTTTATACGTTTAATGTCTAAGACATTTTGTCAAATGTGATCATTTTACAGCTTTTTAGGTTGTAGAAGTACATGAGTTAAAAAACACAAACTGGTTATTGTTAAATATAATTCATTCCTTCAACCTTTATTCCTACAGGTTAGTCTCATTGAGCCTCGAGGACTCGTTTACAAGAGAGACGAGGTTGAAAAATGAATAAATTCAGATTTGATTAGCTGATTTAAAAATGCATTTAGCTCATTAAAATGTTGTTTGATCCAAAAGCACATAAAGTTTAGATGCTGTGAATTGTTTTGTTCTTAAATACAACATATGCTTGTGCATGTTATGAAGCCACTAAAAGTGCCTGTTTGTTTACAACCTTTTACCGCTCCTTTCCCATTTTGTTCTTCTTCAGCTTCTTTCAGCTTCCTTCTGCAAATTTAAACTTTTTACAGCTACTTTCAGTTCATTTCAGCTGTTTATTTTTTTAGCTGTTTTGTGCTCCTTTCAGATTATTTCTGCTAACTACAACAATTTTGTGCTTCTTCTAACTTCTTTCTGCAAATTTCAGCTTGTTATGCTCCTTTCAACTTATTTCTGATAGTTTCAGTTTTTTTCTGCTATTTCAGCTATGATTAAGTTGTTTTATACTAAATTTGAGCTTTTTTAGCTAGTTCCACGTTTTTTGAACTGAGTTCAACTTTTTACAGCCCAATTCAGCCAAAGTGTCCTCTCTCTACTTCCTTTTGGTAATTTAAGCTTCTTTCTGCCTTTTTAGCTACTTTTCAGCATTGTTCAACTTTTTTCCGATACTTTTTCCTTTTTTGCTGCTCATTTCTGCTTCTTTCAGCCAAATTGAGCAAATGTTCTCTTTCTGCTTTCTTCTTCAAATTTAAGCTTGTTCTACATGTTCAGCTGCCTTTTTAGCATTTTTAGTTAAGTTCAACTGTTTTCAGATAAATTCAAGTTTTTCATGGTAAGTTCTGCTACTTTCAGCCTAATTAACTTATTTCTGCTAATTTCAGCTTGGTATGCTCATTTCAGCTTTTGTCTGCTAGTATAGAGAAAATATCAATATCATATATGCTATTTCAGTTACTACTTAGCTGTTTTATGCTAATTTTAGCTTTTTCAGCTAATTCTTTTTTTGTTGTTGCTAATTTAATCTCTTTCTGCTTCTTTCTATTTTTTAAGCTTTTTCTGCCTTTTCAGCTATTTTCAGCATTTTTTTCTAATTTCAGCTTATTTTTAGCTAATTTCATATTGTTTGTGCTCATTTCTGCTTATTTAAACTTAATTCAGCAAATATATGTTCTTTCTGCTTTCTTCTGCGAATGTAGGCCTGCTCTTCCATTTCAGCTACAATTCAGCAAGTCTTTAGCTAAGTTCAGCTTTTTTTTCTGCAAATTATTCAGCAATAAGTTCACACTGCGTTTTCGCAGGAAATGTAATTTCTCTGGTTTAATTTGGTAATCTAGCAGTGATTCTGTTGTAGTGCACATTAAACACACATTTACACTTTAGGGGGAATAAAAGAGTTTTGTGGTCTCTAGATTAGCATCCTTGAGGCATTTTCTGCAGCAGCATATCCCGTTAAAGAAACTGAAGGTTCATGAACTGGCATAACAAGCGCTCGGCTGAAATATTTTTCATAATGAGACAGATGCCGATGAAGAAGTGAAGGAACTCGCCTTTGAAGTTGGGTCTTATTCTGGGATCATAGCTGATCAGTAACCTGTTCAAGATGTTGCTGGTTGAGTTAGCAGGGACTCGAGCCAGATCCTCAGATGACAGCTGTCTGCAAACAAAGAAGATGGAGAGGGAACTTCAGCAGGTCACATTCCTGGCAGATGAACAACACAGATGAACAGAGCGCTGACTTCGAGCCGCTCTGTGTACTTTTTGATTAAACTATAAGCTGAGTGAGCTACCACTTTGGGATTAAACTGGCTTTTAAATCTTGGACCACCCACTAAATGCTTTTTGAGTAAGGCATTGTTTAGAAATGAGATGTTCAGCTTCCAGATAATGACTGGGGGAGAGAACCAGCCCCCTGAGACTGATGGATGTTTGGAGTGTTGTTGTCTTCAGGGCCAAAAATAGAAAGTCAAGTTCAACCCCTCAGCAATGACCACTCTTGTGACTACACATGTCTTTGAACTTTCAGAGGAAATCAGAACATTTGATGAAAAAATAAAAATCAAACTGGTTATTTAAGCACCAGAGAGAAAACATCTGCAAATAAAGACCAAGCTGTGGTAAACAGCTCCATCTGGCCTTCCATGCCAGAGTTCCAAAATAAAGATTAAGTTAAGATGAGTGTGTGTTGTCACTTATTGTAATTTATGGCCACATCAAGCTCAAGATCTGTAAATTATAACGAGTTTTTAGTGTTGACTGAAGTCGATTAGCTACGGCAGCCATTTTGATTTGAAGTGGCTCTAAAAGTTATTCAGTTTTACATGTACACGTGTGTTCAATAGGCATTTTCTGAAAGTTTCTTTAAAATGCATGCAGCGATATGTAGCATGGTGGCCTCTCAGTGAGAAGGTTGCCGGTTCAAATCCTGGCCCAGGACCTTTCTGGCTGGAGTTTGCATGTTCTCTCTGTGCTGTGTGGGTTTTCTCCAGGTACTCCAGTTTCCTCCCACAGACCAAAAACATGCATGTTAGACTGACTGGTAACTCTAAATTGTCTCTAGGTGAGAGAAAGAGTGTCCTTGTGATGGACTGGAGACCTGTCCAAGTACATAAGTACCACACCATACCATGTACCATGTTTTGACACAAGTGCTGTATTATTATTGATATTATTATACTTTAATCCTCAACAACCTGGCTCCATCTTATATTACAGATCCTATTGTCCCATATTTTCCCAACAGAGCACTTTGCTGTCAGACTGCAGGTTTACTTGTGGTTCCTAGAGTTTCCAAGAGAAGAATGGGAATAAGATTTTTCAGTTCTCAGGCTCCTCTCTTTTGGAACCAGCGTCCAGTTTCTGCCCATGAGGCTGACACATTGTCCAGTTTAAGACTGGGATTAAGACTTTCCTTTTTGATAAATCCTATAGTTAGGGTCGGCTTGTTATGCTGCTATAGACTTAGACTACTAGAGGACAAACTGACCTCATTTCCTTAAATGAATTGTTAAAATTGAATAGTTTTCATTTGATACTATTTCTATCTTAACATGTGATTCTTGACCTGCCATTGTGTATCTATTCCTCTCAAACCCAGCTGGTCGAAGCAGATGGTCCTCTTGTCCTGATCCTGGTTCTGCTAAAGGTTTCTTCCTCATGAGGGAGTTTTTCTTTCCACTGTCGCCTTCATGCTTGCTCAAGATGAGAGTTCATTGATGGAGTTAAACTCAAAGCTGCTCCTCAGATAAATAATGGTATTAACCTACTTTTTATATATTATGGTATATATTATATATACCATAACATGCCATACCAACTTCCTTTTAATGCACTATAAACAACCACAGAACCGAAGTGTACAGAACAATAAATAAAACATAACTGCAGTCACATGACACAAGACGATAAACTGTTAGATCCAAATGAAGCTTAAAATAACAAATTAATTGAAGTCATCTGGGTTTTAGTGGCTTTACTTTGACTACAGTACACGTTATTGCAGTAGGAACTTATTTAAACCAAGAAGCAAAAGCTGTTTGATGGAAAATTCAGTATTTTGACCCAAATCAATTTAATTTTTAATTTTATTTATTTTATTTATTTAGCCTTTATTTATCCAGGTTAGTCTCATTGAGCCACGAGAACTCATTTTCAAGAGAGACCTGTTTTATTTTTTTGTTTTTTTAGGGAGCACATGGTGGGGGTTAAGGGCCTTGCTCATGGGCCCAGAGTGGGGCGAATGAGGGTGGGAAGTAATGGAGTTAAATAATGGAGTTAAGCCATGTTGCTATATTCAAATTTATTTGTGACGAATGCTAAATAAAATGCTAAATAAAATGCTAAATAAAATGCTAAATAAAATGCTAAATAAAATGCTAAATAAAATGCTAAATAAAATGCTAAATAAAATGCTAAATAAAATGCTAAATAAAGCACAGTTTGTATTGTTTAAGTTAAGACGGGGAGAATACGTATGAAGACTTCAGAAACACATTTCTATTAACACTGAAACCAGTGACATCAAACTGACCAGCCACAATGCTGAAAGCAATAAATTAGTCTTTTAAGTTGCATTTATAAAGAAAGTAAAGTAACAAAATACAATTCAGGTTTTGTTGGTCTGATGTAATTTGTGTGTAACGAGGTGCACTGGTGTGTGTTTGTATGTCCTTGGCACGTGATGTCAGCAAGGGAACGAATTAGAAGAAATAAATTAATAAAAACTTCAAGGTCTTTTCATTTTTTCTGCTCTCCCTTCAGTAATTTTCCTCCCTCACCTCACCCTGACCTCCCAGCACCGCAGAGTAGAAAGACTCAGCATAGTTTCTCGAAGGCCCTGAACATGTCAGGAGGGTCAGAAGAGCAGGAGTTAACTTTAATTTGTGCAGTAAACTGTTTCTCTTGTCAGCGTCAGATTTGCAGTCAATGTTCATTTCAGTAGTTAAGAGGATGTCGCTTGTCAAACGTTACAGCACGCTTCTGTTTTACTTACGATGGACAGTAAACCTGCTTTCCTTTCTTCTTCCCTTTCTTAGCTCCTTTCTCTTTAGCAGATCCACCCTCCGGACAAAGAAACAGGAGCAGGAGAAAGATGGCAAACTTCTTCCTGTCCATTCTGGTGGCAGATGTGCCTGTGAAGCAGAGTCCAGATGTTAAATTACAGTTAGGGAAACACAGGTTTAAAGAGATTAAGACAGTTGGACAGCTCTTTTACTTAATATTATTTTAATAAAACGTATATCACTTTATTCACCTCCTATCTGTCCAGCATCTTTTGAACAGCCTGAACTGAAACTTTGTCTTTTTTCTCTTTAAAAAAAAAGACTAAACTATTTACACTTGTGCATGTCACAGAGTGGTTTGACATGTGAACTTCTCTGATCGACCAGCAGAGGCATTCATGAAGCCATGCAGCTCAACTGATGATGGTTCAAGTTGTTTTCATCCTATCTGGCCTTTCAAGCGTCTCCTAAACACAAATATCACCTGAGCTCCTTAAAGCGTCTGCCCAAACCTGCAGAGAACAATTTATTAAGGATGCTTCCTGCTTGCACCAGAGAGATGATTTGTTTTGTTTCAAATATATTAAAATTAATAAGACTGAAGGTTGCTGAGTATGTTTTTATATATTGCATGCCCTATATGAATTAAATGCAGATAGTATACAGATAATATGATACTTTGTGTTCACAAAAACACAACATTATGTGCAAGCATGTATTTTAAACAGGGTGCACTGAATCTCTGCCTGCGCCATGAAAGGAAACGAAGTCCTTTAAACGTCGTCTCTGTGGATTTTCTTCTCCGCTACACCTCAGATAAGAGTCATCTGAAAACACAATAAACTGCAGTTATAGACACTTTATGGTTTGGTACCAGAGAAAGTGAGACGTTCACATTGAAGCACAAGCTTCCCCTGCCAGGAAGAGAAGCACGTTCATTTAAACAGAGCAGGGTTCACCGGAAGCTCCTCTTTATCTTCCACAAACATGCTTGAAGACACCTACAGCTTCTTCTGCCATGTCTGGTGTGCTCACAGTGACGGGATGGGAGAAGCAAACTGCCAATCATAGCAGCCGCTCTGCACGGGTCACAGCTACACACACACAGCAATTAACTTTATTAATAGACAATGGACATCCAATAAAGCACCCCTGCGATTGCAGGGACCCTGGAACCAAAGAGCGAAGTCAGCAGTCTTCCCTCTCGTCCCAGCACACACCCTGCCAGCAGGCCTGATTATTAACTGAGGCAGCTGGGTGTCTAGACAGAGGCCCCCCTCCTCCTCGCCGCTCTGCCTTCTTAACTCCTGAACCGATCGTTGATCATTTTGTTCTCTGACAGAAATCTCTTCCGCAGCACAATTTAGTGCCTTTTGTCTCGGCGCGAACATCTCATGCTGCCTGAACTACGACAGAGTTGTTATTGATCTGATCCAGTTCCACAAAGTTGTACGTTTAGGAAGGCCATAGAGCAGCCATAGAGCGGCCGGCGAGCGTCATAAGTTATCCAGGAAATATTAGAAAGCAATAAATGGCCGGGTGTCGGAGTTTGACTTGGCAACAAGACATCGGTTCTTAGAAACTGTTTCTTAAGTGACTTTCTAATTCCATCCTTCACGCTGTCTCTCTCATTTATTTCCAAAGCCACAAATCAGTTTCACAATATTTGGCAGCCTTTTATTTAATTATATATTATTATTTTTGTCCTGGCAGAAAAGAGATCACAGCATGTTACCCCCCCGGATACCCAACATTTTTACAATGTTCTGTGTAGAGAATGATTCTGGCCTCACTCATATTTTATAACGAGGTTTTTGTGTGGCACTTATTTATGAGCTTTCATCACATAAGTTATGTCGTGAGACTTTGCTTCTTATTTGTTGCCCATTTTGTGTAAATATGAATAAAATGTTTTCTTCTTCGTTAATATTTATCATTGAATTGTATGTTTATAACAAACATTTAGACTTTATTAAAAAGACTTTCACTGAGATAAAACTAACAGAACAGAAACCATTAAAGACATAATTAATTGTTTTTCTCTTATTTTTAACCTAAATCATGTCACTTTGTTTATAATGAGATATGATCAGTCATCAAAGAGCATAAAGTATTTTATTGTATTGATTGTGACGTTATTGTAATCTGACAGAGAGAGAAACAGCAGCTGAAGCCTCGGACGAATGTCTGACGGTGAGAAATCAGCCGTGATGGTCGGCTGCTCCAGTCCACGTCTCCCAGCACGAGGAGCGCATCAACATGAAGCCTGATCAATCACAGTGATTAAAGATCAGACAAGGTGGCCTGATGCTTGTCAAAATGTTACTTAAAATGATTTAGTGATAATTGAGCATCTTTTTCTTTTTAACCATTTTGGCAGGTTGTCCTCCAGCTGGTTCGGTGAGTAGTAAGCGGCCATTTTGCCTTTAACATGTGATCAATATGCACTGATTATTGATTGGTTTCGACTGATGGTCCTCCTGTTTGCATGTGTGAAGCCAGTTGTCTGGGAATCCCACCGCAGGGCGGTTACAAACACGTCAATGAGGTGCTACTTAATGCGACACATCTAGGCGGCCTCAGACTGATGAAGTCTTTCGGATGAAAGACGAACTGTTTCTTCCAAATTAAACTGGACAGATGACACAATTTAATGTTTTTGTGAGTTACTTAAAAAAGGTTTGAGTTTAAAAAATATGTGATGTGAGCAGAAAGATGATCCTAAATTTTAAAATGTGATCGATGCCATGAAAGATAAAGAAACTGCCGTCACCAGCTGTTATTTGCTCTCACGGTGTTATTATTATTGTCCAGTCAGGTGAAAATCACAAAATGTCCAATATGACTGGGATCCTGCTGCCACACTGGGAGCTGGATCATAGAAGACAGAAGTCTGGGCTAAAACATTTTGTTTTAGTTGAATTTCACTTTTCTGTTTAGTTTTGCCCGACTCTTTGCATCCAGTTCATCTTAATTAAACCCTGAAACTGATGTGTTTCTGTTTTGTTTGCTGCAGCTCGACTGTAAACAACGAGGTCATCCTGAACGTGCACACGGGGGCAAAATAAGAGCCGATCTGAGCTGAGACCCCGGCTTATCCTTGAAACTGGCTTAGTCAACGTTGCACCACTGCTGACGAGCATCGCCCTCGCTCTGGTTTACTCGTGGCAATGTTAAAAGTGCAGAGACGTTGTCATGCAGTGACCCCAGCAGCCTGATGTGGGCGGCCCTGGGGCTCAGCGTTCAGCCCTGAACCGCTCATCAGCCCACATGCATCACTTTTACATCCAGATGTTGAGATCATAAGGTACAAACATGGCACTCTGTTAACATGAATTAAATCAATCACATGGTGCAGTTTAAAGGCAGTTTTCAGGATATCTTTAATGCCGTTTTGAAACGTGGGTCTGCTCCCAGCGTAAACAAACACCGAGCTGAGTTCTGAGACTGAGCAACGGTGGTGGCAGAAGTTTGTGTACAGGAACAAATATGGCAGAAAATTTAACTACTGACCCATTTTCAACCACCAGATGTTTCTGTAAACAAACACTGGCACACTGTCCATCCATCCATCCGTCCATCCATCCATCCATCCGTCCATCCATCCATTCATCCATCCTCTTTTACCCAATTCTTCCTTTTCAGGTCACGGGGGTCACTGGAGACATGAGACAAACAACCATTCTCTCTCACTCTCTCTCTCTCTCTCTCTCTCTCTCACTCACTCACTCACTCACTCACTCACTCACTCACTCACTCACTCACTCACTCACTCACTCACTCACTCTCACCTAGAGACAATTTAGAGTTACCATCAGTCTAACATGCATGTTTTTGGTCTGTGGGAGGAAACTGGAGTAACTGGAGAAAACCCACGCAGCACGGAGAGAACATATAAACTCCACCCAGAAAGATCACAGGCCGGGATCTGAACTGGCAACCTTCCAGCTGTGAGGTGGTCACTCTACACCAACTGCACCACCGTGGCACGCTGTCACATTTTTTTTTAATTTCATGGCACATTAATAAATGATCTGCGAATAATATTCTGTAAATAAGTTTAAAAAGCAAAAATGTAATACAAATGTTGTTATTAATGTCCTGACGTGTGCTCAATAATCTAACACGGTTAACTCAGGTCCTCTGGACGGATTGTTCTTGTTGAAATGTTTCATCTTTTATCCAGAAGACTTCTTCAGTCTGAGGAGCTGCAGTAAACTCAGCCTTATGAAAAGCACCTTCGCATAGTGGGTCAACCAGCCAGAACTGTTCACATGCAAAAGGACACGTGTGTTGTTGATGTTGATGACTTGACTCCACAGAGAATACTTCATGGAATACATTTGTTTGTTTGTTTATTTGTTTGCTTGTTTGCTTGTTTCCGCTGACTGCTGGGCCTGTGCTCAGTAAAACACTGACATGCAACAAATGCAGAACAACCCAGGAGCGCCACGGAGCTCAACCTGTGGCTGCAGTCGCTCTGAGTCTCCTTCCACCGAACCGAAGTAAGTCAGCGAGGCTGACACGCGCCTGACACGCGCCTGCAGCCTGAGATCAGGAGAGCACAGGAGCAGCTGCAGCGACCTCCATGACGGGGGCTCGCAGAGAGAGGATGCCAGTACATGTGAGCGCGCGCGCGCCAGAAACATGCAAACCCGTGAAACCGTCCAAAGAAGCACCGCGCGCGCAGCTGCACTCACGGTTCGTGGGTGTCACCTGTCGGTTCCTCACAGAGCTGGGTCCTGCAGAGCTGCGTGCACGACAACAGAAGACAAGCAGGATCTTCTCAGAGCCTCCCGGAGCCGTCGTCTTTCATCCCCCCCCCTCTCAGTCCGCTCCTGGAGCGCGTTTTAAAAAGATGCAAACAAAGTTACACCTCGGCCATTTGCCATTTCCCCTCCGCGCCCGCTCCTTGCTGTTTTGGGCTCGTGCGTTTTGTTCTTTTGCTCTCGTGCGTGTTCATGTATGGCTGCTGCCCTTTCGCCTCGGCTCGGGATGCCCAAGATGGAGGCTTTGCGTGTACCTGTCATGCAACATGCGCAGTAGCGCGAGCGTGGAGCTGGAGAGCATCACTCCCATCAGCACCACGGACAGCCGCTCCCCGCCTCCGCGTGCACGGCGGTCGCTGCTCCACGCTGAGACGACGTGACGCCAGCAGGAGGAACCCCGTCACGAAGCGATGCCAAGTCTCCCTGTGACCTCCTCTGGTCTGCAGGAGCCGTTAGAGGAGCGCGAGCCGCCAGGCTGACTGGTGACGTAGAAGGTTTAGATCAGTGGAGAAATAATTTAAATTAACAGTTTGAAGCAAAGATCATCAACATGATGTAAAAAGAACTACAACTATAAGAAACCCATGATGTTTATGGATTCTCTGAGAAATCTCTGCTTTAATATTAGTCATTATTATTAATTGTAAGTATAATTAAAGACCTGTCCTGTCAATCATCAGCTTAAATTATAATCTGCTGCTGATCAGGAATGTTGTCCAACCCTAAATGATGACCTGTTTGTGCTCAGAGAATGTGATGAGGACAACTCTCAGCTACTACCACACCACTAAGTTGTAGCTATTTATTAATATAATTTTAGCTCATGTTGATTTAGCTGTTAGATGTGGCGGCCATATTTAATTTGATTGATATCAAATGTTAACAAGATGCAAATGTACATTCAACGCTTTCTAAGGGATTATGTTAAAGTAAACATAATCCCACGGCTAGTCCCAGGTTCATTATTTTACATTTAGGAGTTTGAAAAGCAACTTGTTATTGATTGATTGATAATCAATGAGTGGACGTGTCCCATGATCATTACTGGCTGCGACAAAGCTTTTGGCACCAGACCGAACAGTTATAAACTAATTAAATGTTCATTTTGTTTACGGTCATTAAATTCAACCAGTGGAGAGAAATAAATCATTTCTTGAATATGATTGAATATTTTTAAAGCTCAGTATAAAGTTTTCTGATCGAGGACTCAGCTTGAGAATTCTATAAAAACAGATCTTTTTTTTTTTGGTTAATGAGTTTAAACATGAACGTGGTGATGTGGACATTTACTCATCATGGACACAAAATGAAAACTAACTAACTAAATAATAATAATAAACTGTTTTATTTTATTTTCATGTTCTGACCTTCTGCTTTGATGGTTTCAGGTCAAACGGTGAAATCGTGAGGACTGTTTTGTTGTTTGACGCTACTGGAACTCATATATTTGTCACATGGGAAAATTATGATCTTGGATTATTTAAAAACCTAAAACACGTCTTTGGTTCCTGCAGTTATTTCAGGCGCAGAACATAAATGTATGTCACATGTATCTGCCTGCTGTGTCTTAGTAAACTGATGTTACCACTTTAGTGAAAACACACAGAGAGGTGATGACTAAATATCAAGGTTCTTTATTGTCATTCACATCACATGTGGTACATGAGGTGGAACAAAACTGTGGACTCAAGGTCCCAGCTACACCAAAAAATAGCAAAAATGTCAAATTTAAAAAAGGAAGAGTATATAAGGTTTTAAGATGTATGCTGAACAATAATAACATAATATAATATGGTGTATTAAACAGCAGCCTGAACATGAGTCTGTTGTGAGCAGATGGTGTTAATATGAATATATTCCCTCTATAATTTGATTTATAAATATAAATATATCTTTCATTTTCTATTAGAATCAGTTAACAGACACATAATAATTGAATGCTTTCACATTATTACAGTTAGATAAAAGTTAATTTATTAATATAAACATTTTACCTAAAAAAGGATTATGATTATGTTTTAAGTTTGAGGCAGATGGAAGCACTTCATCACATCATGTTTCATATGAGGCCACAGGTTGTGTTTGCGATGTTCATGTCCGTTCTTCTGCTCAGTTTCGTTTCTGTGAAGTTCCTCTCTAACAATTTTTAACCATCTGCAAAACTGATGTATTGTTTACACTTTACATGGTGAAATGATGGAAACCAGCACATCTGGAATCCTGCTCTCAACAGCTTCAGTGTGTGTGTGTAGCATATTATAAATGTTTTGTAATCAAACATGCACAAGTTGACAATTTATTGTTACATAAGCAATAAAAGCACGTGTGGGCACTGCCATGTTGTAATATAAGAACTAAGGGTGTGGAGCTGGAACGTGCACAGTCTTCAAACTCACCTGCTGCCTGTCACTTTATTCATCACACTGCAGTCATGTTTTTAAGCCTCAGGTAGCTCTGTGAAGCTAAAATAATTTGACATAAATCATATATGAATATATATTAGCAACGTAAGCACCCCATGAATAAATTAAATTAAAATAAATTGCATTTAATTAATTTTATATTTTAGTTAAGAAAATATCCAGTAGAAGAGACTTTAAACAAAGCCGGCCTCTCGTCCTGTGCAGCTTCAACTGCTGTGTAGCTCTGGGATGTCCAAACCTGGTCCATGGACCACGACCCTGCAGGTTTTAGATGTTTCTGTGCTCCAACACACCTGAGTGAATGAACGAGTAATTAGCAGGCTTCTCTGGAACATGAAGACGTGATTCAGTCATTGAATCAGGTGTTGGAGCAGAGAAACAAGAGAAGCATGCAGGATGACATCCAGCAAGGACCGGCATCGGACACATCTGGATATGTGTCAAAGCTTAAACCACAATATTTATTAAATTTGATAGAGTGGTGTGGATATGTCTTTGGAGCTCATGACATGTTAGTGTTTTATAGTCATTTGGACACAATGGATGCATGTGGTGTGGATCTGTCAAAAGTTTGCTTTATGGGTCATCTGTAAACCCCGTTAAATCATAACTTTAACAATTATATCTGTTGTAACATTAATTTATGGAAACTTACACCGCACACTTTACAAATCACAAATTCAAGGTTTGAGCCTTCACTTTCAAATGCTTTGAAAATTTTGCTAAATAATGAAATAAATGACATTAAATTACCCAGAATTTTTAAACAAGCGCTCACACATAATGAAATGAGTTGAGAAAAAAAAAGTCTTGTGTTTTGTCTGCTCCGTGGCAGGACTTAAAATGTCTTTCCAATGAGAAAACATTCACCTAAATATTTTGTACATACTGTACACACATGTATAGGGACAGTGGGTATATTGGTAGAAGAATGTTAGAAATGCATCTGCCAGGAAAAAAAGAGGAAGGTCAAAGAGGAGATATATGGACGCAGTTAGAGACATGGAGGGTAGTTGGAGTGAGGACAGAGATGGAGGAGGATGACTCGCTGTGGAGACCCCTGAA